ATGTATACTATCAGATATTAATATATTATTGTTAATCATAATATTATTACTTTAATTAATGTTGTTGTAAGCTACTGTCATTACCGTCTGTCTCTGTGTCTCTCTCTCTGTCTCATTGTGTCTAACGGATTACTGTTAATTTATTATGCTGATCTGTTCTGTACGACATCTATTGCACGTCTGTCCGTCCTGGAAGAGGGATCCCTCCTCAGTTGCTCTTCCTGAGGTTTCTACCGTTTTTTTTTCCCCGTTAAAGGTTTTTTGGGGAGTTTTTCCTTATCCGCTATGGGGGTCCTGAGGACAGAGGGATGTCGTATGCTGTAAAGCCCTGTGAGGCAAATTGTGATTTGTGATATTGGGCTTTATAAATAAAATTGATTGATTGATTGATTGACTTCATCTACATAAGATCAAATATTTTGGTATGAAAAGCTGCATTTTTCATTTAACCAAATATCCTGTATCATAACTACATGTCTGACGATTATAACAAACTAAACTGCATGAAAATCGGTTGAGAATTCAGCGAGTAATGATGATTTTAATCATAAATAGTCTCCTGCCTCAATAGACATACATGCATTAGGCAGCACAGCTCAACCTGGGCAAGATGGTGGCAGCATTGACGTATCGCTCCAATGAAGAGCACCGTTGAATGCGGCATCTACGTATATATATCTATGGGTCAGAGGCCACAGACAGAGGTCAGAGGTTACAGTCAGAGGTCATGTCTCAGGTCAGAGGTCACAGTCAGAGGTCATGGCTGTTAAAATGAATTATAAAATGTTCTAAAGGAGTCGTGTCTCTGTTTCAGGTCTGAAGTTTGACTCGCGGTTCATTGTTGTTCGAGTTCGAGCGAGAAACAAAGCAGCTGCTGGCGAGTTTTCTGAGCCGGTTGCCATGGAAACCAGAGGTGATAACATGACTGAATAAGTGATGAGTTGCAAGTCTGTATGTCAACATGAAGAACTACCGGTCATATCAAACATGTACAGAAGTGTTTCTAATAAACTGGACACAAAGTCTGTTTCCATGGTAACGATATAGACAGAAATCATGTCATCCGTGTGTCTCCAAAAATTATCAACTTTTCTCATGATTTGATTTTTATTATAACTTCTCCTTGTTTTCCTTCTTCTCCTTCTCGTTCTCCTACTCTGTTGTCCCCTTCTTCTTCTCCTTCCTCTCCTTGTCCTGCTCCTCCTTCTCCTTCTTCTCCTTCTTCTCCTCCTTCTCCTTCTTCTCCTCCTTTTTCTCCTTCTCCTTCTCTTCCCCTCCTCCTCCTCCTTCTTGTCTCTGTCTTCTTTTCCTCCTTCTTCTCCTTTGTCTCTGTCTTTTTCTTCTCCTTCTCTTCCTTCTTTCCCTCCTCCTTCTTCTTGTCTCTGTCTTCTTCTTCTCCTTCTTCTCCTTGTCCTGCTTCTTCTTCTCCTTCTTCTTCTTCTTCCTCCTCCTCTTGTTCTTCCTCTCCTTCTCCTCCTTCTTCTTCGTGTTTGTCTTCTTCTTCTTCTACTTGTCCTGATTCTTTTTCTTCTTCCACTTCTCCTCCTTCTTCTTCTTCTTCTTCTTCTACTTCTCTTCCTTCTCCTCCTTCTTATTTCTCTCCTTCTTCTCCTTCTCCTTCTGCTACTCCATCATCTCCTTCTTCTTCTCCTTCCTCTCCTTGTCCTGCTTCTTCTCCTTCTTCTCCTTGTCCTGCTTCTTCTCCTTCTTCTCCTTGTCCTGCTTCTTCTTCTTCTTTTTCTTCTTCTCCTTCTCTTCCTTCTTCTACTCCTTCTCCTTCATTTCTGTCTTCTTCTTCTTCTTCTTCTTC